GATGGGGGGCTCAATAGGGGGCTGATCCTTTTCCTGCTCAGGAAAATGGAGGCAAAGAAGTTGTTAAATAGGTTAGCTTTGTTGTCTGGTGTGATAACAAATTTCCCAGTGTGTCTTGCAGGGGCCCCACATTACCCGGTACCTTCTTTTGGGCCCCTATGTGTTTATAAAAGAACTTCTTGTTGTCCTTGATCCGGGTAGGTAGTCCCAGTTTCATCTCTGCCTTGGCCTTCCTGACTGCCCCCCTGCATCCCTGAGCAACCACAGTATAGTCCTCCCTGGTGATGGCTCCTCCCTTCCAAACACTTTTTAGATTTAAAAAAGTCTGTCTGAAACAGATATCTGGCATGGCGGATTTCCGCCCACTTGCATAATTCTAAATAAAAATGGCACAATTCTAAACAGATAAAAGCCTGCTTTGTAATGGAAAATGATAGGCAGTTATAAATTTAGGAGTAATCACTTGTATAATTATCTGATATGTGTAGATAAATCTGGTATTTGCATATTTGTGCTTGACTCTCCATATGTACATTCAAGCCTTGGGTATTATTTATATGCAAATATATGTAGTCAGTAGTGTATATATAACCTTGAAAACCTAGGAATTATGGCAAATGTGCTAAAGAAGTGCCATAATATACATTATGATCTAACTTTTCTCTCTTGTGATTAGTTGTCTCCTAAAAAGACCTGGGAAGGGTTCATTGGAGGTTTCTTCTCTACTGTTGTGTTTGGATTTATAGTAAGTAGTGATGGAATTTTTCATATAGTTTCCTTCTTGAAGTTTTAACTGGAACAAAATTCCCAGCACGTTTGTTGGTCTGCTTTTCTGATGTATGAAAAATGGTAATTTCTTGTTGGTTAGGGTACTCTACTGATAGTTGAAAAACATACAGCCTTTTCTGGTTACAGTAAATGGTTTTAATAATCTGTATCTATCATATTGCTTGCTATTTCCTGTTCTTATTAGAGCTGTATGTGTCATTGTTTCAGTTCAGCTGACAATAGATACATACTTATTTTGTAACTGATGCAATTAGTAGTATTTATGACATCACTTGCTCATTACAACATCAATTAATACATATTTGATTTTAAAATGACGTCTTTCCTGATACATATACATGGATATAGACATCTCGCTTAAATTGATGTCATACTTCATGAAATAAAATTGAAAAAATATGGTACTTTGTATGAAATTTATGACACAGGTCTGTGAAAATTACAAGTTCAAAGATTGTAAATGCTTTGATTTGTTTCTTCCTAGATATCAATATTTGATTTAAAGGTGTAGTGTAAAAACAAAGTAGTGGTCATTATTAATGTCTCCCAATACATTCTTAATTTTAATAGAAAAACAAGTTGTTGGCATGGCCTAATGGGGGTCTAAAAATAATAGCAAAAAATTAGGAATAAGTTAAGATTTTTTTAGTAATATTCTGAATGTCCTTTTTAGTTTGTTCTTAATGAGGATATCCCTGCCTAAGGAGAGATGTTTTGTCCATTGTGGAATCACTATGCAACAAAAATTTTGTTTTTCACATTGTCGTAGGGTTGGACACTTATTGTTAACATGTTGGTCCAAGAAATATATGAGAAGCAGGGCTTTTTTGGGACTATCTTTTATTGAACCAATTGCATAGTTGGGAGAGTGGCTCTGCATCATGTGCTCTTCCTGAGTGCCCTTGGTGTCCAGAAACTTGTCTACCAGCTATCTCAACTGTGAAGCTGGTTCAGTAAAAGGTACCACAAAAATGCTTGCTTCTTGTTTTTCACTATGCTCAACCAGCTATCAGTGTAATTAAAGTTCTCTGAAATTTAGCACAACCAAAAAATGAAAATTTCAGGGGGTTTTTGCTTTGCTTTGCTCTTCAGTTTTCCTATCTTTTGGCTCAACATGAGTATTTTGTATGTCCAGTGGAATACAACAGTGAAACAAACAGATTTGTTACAGAGTGTGAACCTTCAGAACTCTTCCAGCTACAGAAATACTCTGTGCCACCACTGCTGAAGACTGTGTTGAGATGGGTAAGGAGAAATGAAGCTTGAATTATAACTGAATTTGTTTTGCAGCTATAATATGTAATATTTATTAAGCGTTTCTTTAGAAGGCTATAGTTACACTTGTTTATGTCTTGAAGATCAGTGATTGAAGGCACAGGCAACTCTGACACCCAAGCAAGGAAGTGTCAGTTCTAAATAGAATTGAAGCATATTGATAGTGTAATGAATGACGCACTAGCTATGATGGTCTAGGAGTTATGTGAAAGGCAATGTTTTTTGTGTGTGGTGTCTTTTATTGGACAATACAAATGTAGAAAAACTGTTCCAGCTTTAATACTGGATGAAACACTGTTAAAGTTGTAGCAGTCCTGCTATATGTGTGTCATTCCCAGCTTGTCCACAAGTAACATTAGAATGTAACAGTTGCTACCCATTTGAAACATTCCCCTTTAGAAGTATTTCCAAATGTAGGTGTGTCCATATACTAACTATTCAGAGTGCATCCCCGCTGGAAATCGATGACTTAAAAATGATAGCAGAATACTCTGTAATGTTGCACTGTGATTGTAAATCAGTTTATTTCTCTAAGTCAGTGCTTCTGTCTGGATAATTTGACACAGAGGTTATTCAGAGTTCAGGCCAGATTCTTAGGCCCATTAGAACTTGAGTTAAACTCAGAAACTTTAGGCATATTTTGTTTTGGAAATTTATTGAGAAGGAAACAGATATGGCCCATGTTCAGCATGTGCCCTGCATGTTTTGGTTTGGATGTTACCCTCCTCTTCATGTCGAACACAATACAGTGTGTTGGATATCTGTAATGTTATGCAGAAAAAAGAAAAAAAAAACAGTACAGCGCTGTGCATGTGAATAATTTGTCATCCGTATCAGATGTGGACAATTAAGTAATTTGCCCAAATAATTGCTCACCTCTGTTATATAGTGTTTCTCACATTTGGTTGAGCACTCTGTTATAAAGACTCAGATTCTACTTACCTCATTTTCAATCATTTTTGTGACATTTGTCCCCCACAGACAGGCTGCCTGGTGTCAAAGCAAATAGGGCAGTTGCTTGGAAGCATAAGTAGATGTCCTCTGATCATATTTGGGGGCTTCCTTGTGTATTAATGGGCTTCCTTGTGTACTAATGGCCAGCAAAGCGTTAGTCGTGTAGTTCATCAACAGATTAGATTTCTGACAGATTGAAAATCCAGCAAATTTCCTGTTATTTGATTATGTTGATTCTTAAATATTTGTCATAACCCAAATGTTTACACTGACAGTCACAATGTGAGCCACCAAATGAGGAAACTGGCGTTGATTGTCATGTAAATTGGTTGCATGAAATTTAGGGCAGCAGTTCTCAACCAGGTATCTGCGGCCCTCTGGGGTGCCCCCAGCAGGTTTCAGGGGGTCCACCCTGCCTGGCCCATTGTGGGGAGTTGCCACTTCAGCCCTCTGGGGCTTAGACGAGTCCCAAGGAGGGGGTGGGCCCACCTCATCCGGCCCCACAGCATCCATCTTGTGGGTGGCACTGCGGGCAGGCAGGTAGGAGAGGCTCTGCATTGCTGCTGGTGAATGGGGCTCTGGGGCTCCCCACTGGTGAGCCTTGCCCACTGCACCCAGGGCCCTTGGGGGTCCAGGCTGGGGAGCCAGGTCAGTCTTCTCCTGTGCAAAGGTTGAGAACCCCTGATTTAGGATACCTGAGCTGTTGTCTGTATTGTTAACCAATTACTAATTTAGAAATTCTTTGCTCTCTGAAGTGTTTAACAACAGGTTCTTCAAGAAAAAAGTTCTTACTGTACCGTTGACTTACCGTAGGACCCCAAGAGGCTCTGTTGAGGGTGCTGGGCTGCTAAATGTACCCTTGCAGTCTTTTCACTTTGATGTTTGGGATGAAAGCAGGTTGAGTCGGGAATCTGTGCTCTCTGCTACTGATGGAAAATCTTTTCTGCTTGGCTAATGTAACAAGTAAGCACAGAGAATGGAATACGCCTGCAGTTTGTCAACTAGATGTAGAGAACAATACACATTTAGTGTAAAATATGAGGTGGAATATTTTTTTCCTTTAGAGAATTTTTGACTGCTGATTGAGAGTGGAAAACACCAATAGTGATGGTGATGCAGCCACTGTGTAATTTTCTGTAATAATGAGTTATAGGGCCATATAACTGGAAGATGGAGTAGTCATTTTCATTTCTTTGCTGCAGCACTGAAATACTAGAATTCTCATTGCATTAGTCTGCCATACTGTCACCAATGACAAGTGAATGTGCTAGTGAATTACTTACTTAGGAAACTTTGGTTCTTTGGGAGCTTCTGAACACAGGACAGAGTTACACTTTGCGTAAATCTAAGGATGAGTAGGTAGGCCCTCTTTCTTTTTCAGTAAAGGAAGTGGCTAGGAAAGAAGTATATGGGAAAGGTCTGTGATAGGGAGAGGAGCAGACCTCCATCTTGTATAAAAAGGGAGACTGGCCATCTATTTCCTCTTATGAACAGAGATACAAATCAATGTAAAGAACATATAGAATTGGAGGATGAGAAGACAGTGATGTCTGACATTCCTTGGATATGTAGGAAATATTAAAATACCCCAGTAGTACTGACTAGTGCACTTTTCATTAATGAAAATGAGTAACATTCTTTTATGATTTAATATGCTTATTTCTAGTAAGTTAATGTCCTTTTTGTACAAGAAAAATGGATATTTTCTGAGATGGTTTCCTTTAAAACAAAATACACTTTTATTGTTACAATAATTTTAAAGCCTTTTAATTAAAGATGTGATACGGAATTTAGTTTTCTACATCTGGAAGAACTGTAAAAACTTGTATAGCTGGTTTTGGTAATAATTATTTTCTTACAGGAAACAGTGAACATGTACCCATTTCAAATGCACAGCATTGCTTTGTCAACATTTGCTTCCTTAATTGGGCCATTTGGAGGCTTTTTTGCTAGTGGATTCAAAAGAGCTTTCAAAATCAAGGTTTGTATGAAACTTTTTTTTTCAACTTAGGAAAATGTTGATAGATCCTCTTTCTAAAATTTGAATGACGTGACTTCAGATTGTAATGAGCCAGTCCCACACTTTCTGCTGAAAAGGGATGTTGACCATCAAGCCATCATTTGCCTCTGACTGAGTACTCTGGTTGTTCAAACGTATAGTGTATGTTGTTCTTAAACTTACTTGCATACAGCGCACACTCTTCCATCAAAAATCAGCTCTCTCAAATTGGCACATTTTAAGCAGAGAAGCTGATTTTCTTGCCAGAATAGAGGCAAAGAAGAGTAGAAGCATAAAGGTATGCTACAAGACAGCTGCCAGCTTTTCTTTCCTTGTCAGAAAGCAGGAGGGGGTTCAGTCCAGTGTTAACTCTTTCACAGTTGCTCTCAAATTGGCACAAATTCTTGGAGGAAAGGGGCATCAGTAGCTAGTGAGCATGGGAATCAGGGGCACAGCCCCTGAATCAGAACTTCCTAGACATATAATGCTGGAAGCTGCAAGTGAGAGGGGAACAGTGGAAAAAAGCCCTGGTTATACCCAGTTCACTCTCCCTTTTAGCACCCACTCTCTGCCACTATGTGACACAGGAGACTGGGCAAGATGCACCTATAGTCTGATTCAGTAAATGGTAATTTGTATGTTCTTATGGTACCAGTTTTTGTCAAATTTTTCCTATAACAAGGATATGGAGACTATGTAGTACTGAGGTGGCACACAGCACACTATTACAAGGTTAGTTGCAGGGTTTCTGCTGCATAAGAAAGACTCACTCTGGACAATGCAGGAAACAGGTTTGATGCAGTTGCCTTCCCAAACTGGTGGGACAGCAGACTAGATGTATATCCTGCATCTGGACACTCCCAGCCTTGCTTTCATGTGCATAAACAGAAAGCAGTACCCTGAAGCTGATTGCTGAGGACACTAGACAGCATTTAATTTAATTTCAGGTGACGAGGGAAGGTGCTGGATCCCAGTTCAGGGACCTGGTACTTCAGGGACTTCTTGCCTTGACTGTATTTGTAGGGTTTGCTGGCACCTGCCACTTGCTGTGCTCTGCAGTAAAGATGTAAAGGACAGTCAGTGCTTCCTGCTCAGTTCCCCATCAGTTGCAGCATCCCTCCATGGCAAGAACTGCAGGGAGGAGGAGAAGGCTGGCAGGAAGTAAAGCATGCATCAGGATAAAACATCTCGAGGAACTTGAGATTCCAGTTCACCATTTCTCTTTCCTTGCTTTCCAGTGGGGTTTGCATCTTCTGAGACCCTTTTTTCAGTGACAGGATCCATGTATATGTGGAGCTCCTTGCTTTGAGAATAGTGCAGTGGGTCCACAGTCACTGGTGAGGTGGCCCCAGCTCAGTATGAGAGGTTGGGGGGCAGCCCAGCATTTTTGTTGACTTCACCTTTTGCACTGCTGCAATTCCTGCCATGTCACTCTGTATTGCTGTTTGTCCCTGTTTCACTGCAGTTCTTGTGTGTCCTTCACAATGTCTGGATAACTACTGATATTCCTAAGCAGTTCAGTCCCTTCTGTCCACAGGTGGAAAATCCAAGACTTTTCCTACAGCACACTGTTGCTCAGAGTTTGCCCAATCTTTTCTGAACTGTAGATTCCCCTGGTAGCAAAACTGTGCACTAAGGTGTGTTAACAAAGGCATTTCTTAAATATTTTTGTGATTTTTTTAAAAAGAGGAGAGGGTGATGACTTCCAGTCCTTGTGATCTCTGGGCAGCAGGAATCAAAATTGTAACCAAAAGTGGTTTCTGGGGAAAGGGGCATTATGGGATTGTTGCTGGAAGGCTTATATACTGCTAGATATAATTCAGCATCCACAGAGATGTGCACTGGTGGAACAGTCATAGTGCAGGAATTAAATTGCTTAACCTTTAGCAGGTCACATCACCTCTCTGTGCCTCTTTTATCTTCTTACTAATCTGTCTTGTCTGCTTGGATTGAAACCTCTTTGAGGCAGAGACTTGCTATGTGTTTTAGTGCCTTGCATCATTGAACCCACGTCTTCATTAGGGCCTTCAGGTACTGCTGAGAAACAAACAGTATCATACTAATGTAGTACATGTCAACGTGTATACTACTGTGATTTTTTTTTCCCTAAAGGATTTTGCAGACACTATTCCTGGCCATGGTGGAATAATGGATCGTTTTGATTGTCAGTATTTGATGGCTACTTTTGTTCATGTGTATATCACCAGTTTCATAAGGTATTCTCACATACATAGTTCATATAAGTTGCATGTAGTTCTGTTCTGCTAGAATAAAAGCTTAGCTTTAAACTTGATTTGTCTAATTACTTTTGAGAAAGGGATTTTGGAGCTATCATGAAATTCCATACAACTTCTGAGGATAGCAGGTTATTTACCTCTGACTGTTATGAAAGATTGGAACTTGTTCCCAGCTGAATGTAAAGAAAGCTAATTGGAAACTACAACTAACATCAACCATTGCTACAGTCAGAGGAGCTGTGATTCTGTTTCTTCGTCTTTATGTCTGGTATTGTTCAGGGAGAACCAGTAGGTTTAAGTGGAAGTTTTTTTTCTATCAAATCTTTTTATTTCAGTGTTCTAACTTCTAAATTTTAGATCTAGATTTTTCAATATGTAGTTGAGGACAGGCCACTTATTTCATAGAACCATAAGGCTGAAAGGGACCTCAAGTGGTCATCTAGTCCAGCATTTCTGAACCAGTGGGCATGACCCAAAAGTGGGTCTCAGGAATATATGAGCAGGTTGTGAAGACACTTAAAAATGTATCAACAAACTTAAACAATGGATTCTCCTTTAAAGGGGAAAAACATGGGAAACGGTGGCTTTTCCCTTGCAGGCTGGCAGAGTTCCAGCCTGTGAGGGACTGCTTGGGGCTCCCATACCCCCCATACACCCACCTCCTGCCCCATACATTGGAGGCCTGGGGCAGCAGGTCAGTAGTGAGAGCCACTGGGTCAGGACTGACAGCTGATGTTTACAAAATGGGTCCTGGTACAAAATAGGTTGAGAACCACTGATCTAGTCCAACTGCCTGGCTCACCTAGTTAAAATTCCCATTATGTTCCTACATGAGGAAAATAGATTTTAAATTAAATTAGATCACAAGACATCACATCTGTTCTGGAGAGATCGTTACATTAGGAAAACCTCTCCTTTAAAGAAAATATTGACAGTGTATTTGTACAATGGGGAAAGGGGAAGAAGCATCACTTCTCTATGGTAGGTTCAGATTTTGCTTTGAATTAAAACCTGTTTTTCATTGACAGGGGCCCAAATCCTAGCAAATTGTTGAAACAGCTATTGGTACTTCAGCCAGAACAACAACTAAATGTATATAAAACCCTGAAATCTCATCTCGTAGAAAAAGGGATCCTTCAACCATCAACGAAGGGATAGTGAGACGGAATGGAGGACTACAGGAAAATGGCTAGAAAGGCCCTCATGGGAATACAGGTGTTCACATTGATAGTGGCTGAACATGTAGTCTTGAAGACATGAATGTTTTTTTCCCCCTGAAATTACTGTGAATATTTAGTAAGACATTTAAAATTTGTTACCTATTCTATGACAGTGACATTGCTTGCAAAATAACTAAACATTTAATGAGCATTTTAGTTTCTGAAGTTGACTGTACTCATACCATCAGGTATATACATAGATAAATGCCCTCTTTCAGCATCTAGCCAGATGGGCTCAATAGTTTTAAAAATAATTTGCATTCTAAATTACAGTAACTAATATGAAGAGATGTTAAGGCTCTACTGGAACTGTGCAATTTACAAAGCAAATGTTAATGTAATTTATCAGTACTGGGCTTGCTTTTAATGCAAGTTTTATGGTACTGTGTAGCTTAGCAATAGTTGGCATATTTTTATGTGAAATGGTTATTGAGGGATAATTGGGATGAGATGCTATTTTATCCATTGAGCTACTGAGTGTATTGTTTTCAAGAAAAAAAAAATCTCCTGGATACTGGTGAGGAAACTGAGGCTGTCACCAAGACTTAGTCTACATTACAAAGTTCTGCTGGTGGGGCTGTTGTCAACTAAGAATGCAAAGAGATCATGTCCCTGCCTGACACCGCCATGCCAACAACCCCTGGTATGGACACAGTTTTGCCAGTAGAAGGTGACTTTTCCTGGCTAAGCTTTTGCTATTTAGGGAGCAGCTATAAATGTAGTGGGAGAAAAACTCTTTCTTCTGGGATATGCTGTGTGCATGCCAGGGGCTGCTTTGGGGGCAGCTGTGGTTGCTTTCTTGCTGTAATGAAAATAGCAGCTTCTGCCAAATGTAGACAAGCTCTCAAACAGTTACTGTTGGTTTTCTAACGTTGTTTATTAAAAATGACTAAGTTTAGCTCAGTTTTTAGTTATATTTCTTGAAACTTTTTTTCTAATGAAACCAATTCATATTAATAAAATAGACGTGCCTGGACTATGTCACTGACTTTTGGGTACAAAACATAGAAGCAGATATACATATAGTCAGAACTACAGTGCAGATTATACAAACAATATGGGGGTCCTGCAGCTTAGTGATTTTACACTTCAGGCCTTAGTTCCAAGGCTGGGTCACTGTCTGGAGTGAGTTCATGTTAACCTTACTGTTTGTGCCTCAGTTTCCTCATCTGTAAAATTGGTGGTATTTCCCTCTGCTGTAAAGTGCTTTGAGATCCTTGGATGAAAAGTGCAATATCAGTACTAGTTTTTACCCTTTATTATTCCCTTGAAAGTAGTAACTTTTGTCTGACCAACCTAATAGCTTGGGGTTGAGATGGCACATCCTTTTCCCACTGCCTCTTACCACCAGTTAAGTAACTGTTAGCATCTCAAATAATGTGGGCAAAATGTGAGGATTCAGTTGAGAAAAAAATACCTTACAGAAAGTTTCTGTCCTGTAGACGTAGTGAAGTAAATGTGAGAAAGTTAACACATGAATAATTCTCCATTTTTGCTGTTTACTGATCTCCTTTTACATACTATTCCTTTTATTGTGTGGTGATAAACTTATTGAAACTGAAAATAGATATACATGTGTTTTGAATAAATGCATATTATTCCTTAATGACCAAAAGTACATGAATGCCAAAGTTTCTTTTGGTGTCCTGAAGACTGTAACTTGATACAATTTAATTTCCTAAAAATCTAATGCAAATAGGCTTTTCTTGCATTGTGCACTGACTCTAACCCTTCACAGATATAAATAAAGGTGAAATCTACAAGTTGCTTGATGCTACATAAAACCATGTAGAAAGCAAGTAGGACTGCTAATAGGCTGTTTGCTTGTAAAATTCAAGAGTTTTTGTTTACATCAGATCAGAATCTGAGACCACTGTATATTCTGTTTTGGGACTCCACACTATTATTGTATTAGGCCAGGATACTGTGTATATAATCTGTATATAGTAAAATAGTTTATACATTGTTATAAAAGGGATATACAGCATATGTTCTAATTCTAAAAGCCTTTCCTCATGCGTACAGTAGTGTAAGTGCACAGCTGAGGGAATTACACTGTACTTTCTATACCCTACTCAAAGTATAGAACTTCTGTCAAAAGACTGTTTTAGAGAAGAATGACAGCTTTAAATCATATTACTCCAGGTCGTCTTCCACAACTGTGCTTACAGGTGTTCAGTAGATATATATACTGAAACCAGGTGTAAGTAGGACAAAATGCAACAGAACTTGAAGTTTAAAGGGTAGCATAGACAAAAATATGAGACAGAAAGTTGCTTGGAAGTAAGTCAATTTTATGAAAGACAGAAATAGAGAGGAAGCGGGAGAGGATGACCAAAATCATTCATGCAGAATAAACATTCATGCAGAATAAACATATAAATAGGCTTTAGCTATATAGTAAGGTTTTGGCAGAGGCTTCCTACAAAAACACAGCCTTATTAGGCGTGGGTATACAGTAGAGTAGTTGGGTGTATATGTAAGATATATACATATATAAATAAATCTAATTTTTTATTTTAAATGTTTGAACTTTTGAGTGTATCTTTATAGTATGTATATTATGGAAATAGAATATATTTTAGCATTGAGTACTGTAGAGCAAATGAAGTTAATGGCTCTATATTTGCACAGGAAAAAAGAACAAGACTACAAGTTATTTCACTGGCTAAAGTTAAAATGAAGCAAGATTCTTCAGAAATATTAATGGTTAACCACTCAGTCTGCTGATTTTGACATATTCTTAGCATATTGGTTAGGTCTTGGTGTATATCTTTTCAAGACTCAGTTCTTATGGAATGCCAGGAGCACCTCTGCTTTGTGTAAAATGAGTTTTCTTCCAAGATTTCTCGTTCTTCCATGAATTTAACCATACAAGGACACGATGACTTAGGAGAGGCTGATTTTTACACCATAATTTCTCTTCATTTGTTTTTTTGCTTAACAAAGATGTTGTGATTGTCTCATTGAGCAGACAGTGTAGGAACAATGTCTATATTGTACATGCTGTTAGCATATTATGTATGTTTTAATTGATAGTTTCAATCTTTAAGCTGGGATTGGGTGAATAAAATTGGGGGACACATTTCTTATTTCAGTGTCTTTTTTTCTGGAGCAAACATTACAACTGACAGCTTCTAATAATTCATACATCTTTCCACTGTTTCAGAGAAAGTTGATCTTCCTTTTTTTCTTTCGCCTGCCCCCATCAATGAAGGAGCTATTAATTATTTGCTTATTTACCAAATCTGAACCCTGGTATGACTATTTTATCCACCTTGGACTGTGGTTACTAATAGCTTTCGCTTTGAAGAAACTGAAAACTGTAAAAAAATAAATAAATGCCACTATCACTAACAGTGGAATCAAGTTATCTGGAATGGCAGCCTTTTGACACAGCACACATCTTAATCACTGAAAAGAATGGGTAAGTGAGGGGATGCATGCATTATATCTTTCATTGTTATTTTTTTGAAAACAAGATGGTTTTGAAGCCTGCTTCCCTTTTGCATTGTATTATGGTGCCAGTAGTTGCCTCGCTGCATGGATAGCAAAGTAGCTTAGCTTGAAATTCTGATCCTGCTTATGCATCTCTCTCCTCCCTTCCTGTTCCTTTTTCAAGGATGGATTCCAGTTGCTTCAGGTCCTCCTCTAGCCTCAAGGTAAGCCTTTGTTCATGAGCCCCTTTCATCCTTTGTGTATTGTGGGCTGGGTTTTTGATCTTGAAATTGCAGCTGGTCTCAATGCTTTCTTTGTCCTTTCCATCTCTCTTGATCTGCAAACATATTTCCTCAGACAGATGCTTGTGTGCTTTTGTGCCTTAAAATAGCTCTTCTTTTTGGACAATCCAGCTTGTTCCTTGGAAAAACCTTTCCTGGGACAGTTAAAGGAATATTTAGCAGTAGCCTTAGAAATGTGCCAACTGTCTGACTCACGGAACTGTGCTTGTAGAAGGCGATTCACTTTTAGTGACTGCAAAAGGCAGGTGCCTCAGTAACAAACTGGACTGTCAATGAGACGCACATTTTTATGCGGAATAGAAACACTTTGGTCAGATTTTTATCAGTTTATTGGATTATCTTATTTAAGATTAAACAAAACTTTCTACTTATTGTGGAAAAGTCCTTTGCCTTACTTGAGTGGACCCTACAGACTTCGTGTTTTTAAAATGGTTTGCAAAAGGGGCAGACACCTTCCCTGTGTCAAATGAAAACTTATTAACTCTGCCACTTTGCCTAAGAGATGTATGTTGCCTGTCTCTCCCATGTCAGGGTGTAACTAACAAATCCCTTCAATTTAAATAATACCCACAGAAGCCATATTGCCAAGTAACCACTATTGTTCTAGCTAGTAAGTGTGATTGGCCACTGCATGTGACATGACATTTTTTTTTCTATTTGAATAAGTATTACAAAGCCATGAACTTAGTGGACATGCTCTGATAAGCATGATAGGCAGCTAAACTTTGAGGGTGCCTGCTGTTTAGATTTCAAGTTGGTTCAAGTTTAAGTCAAACTTAATCACATTACCAAGCAAATGTAGTAGTTTCATGAGCTATGCCTATCCATGAATCTGCATGAAAAAATGTGACTTACAAATCCATTTTTAAGTAACATTTTATAAACAAGACTCAAACAGCTGCTGGCTGCACAAAAACAAAGTTAGAAACAAGTAGCTAGGAGTCTTCTCCTTACCCCAATACATTATAAAGGCAGAAGTCGAGTCTTTCTAATGAGTATGTATATTGCTGCAACTTGAGACCAGTGCTCCTTGTTCTGTCATCTGCCACTACTGAGAACAGTCTAACTCCATCCTTTTTCAAAGCCCCCTTCAGGTAGTTGAAAGCTGCTATTAAATCCCCACTCAGTCTTCTCTTCTCTTGACTAAATAAGCCCACTTCCCTCGGCATCTCATTGGAAGTCATGCGTCCCAGCCCCCCTCACCATTTTCATTGCTCTCTGCTGGACCTGCTCCAGTTCATCCACATCCTTTCTGTAGTGGGGGGGCCCAAACCAGTATTCCAGATGTGGCCTTACCAGTGCTGAATAGAGGGGAATAATCACTCCCCTTGACCTGCTGGCAACTCTCCTACCAATGCAGCCCAGTATGCTGTTAGCCTTCTTGGCACCAAGGGCACTCTGCTGACTCATATTCATTTTATTGTCCAGCTAGTCAGCCCCCAGCCTGTACTGGTGCCTGGGGTTCTTCCATCCTAAATGCAGGAGTCTGCTCTTGTCCTTGTTGAACCTCATCAGATTTCTTTTGGCCCAATCCTCCAATTTGTCTAGGTCACTCTGAATCCTAGCCCACCCCTCCAGTGTATCTACTACTCCCTGCAGCTTGGTGTCATCTGCAAATTTGCTGAGGGTGCACTCTATGCCATCTTCCAGGTCAATGATGATATTGAGCAAAACCGCCCCCAGGACTGACCCCTGGGCACTCCACTTGATACTGGCTGCCAACTAGACATTGAGCCATTGATTACTGCCTAATGCTCCAGTCAGTTTTCTATCCACTTTGCAGTCCATTCATCCAGCCCATGCTTCCTTAGCTTGCCTGCAAGAATGTTGTGGGAGATTGTATCAAAAGCCTTGCTAAAATTAAGATAAACCACATCCACTAGTCTCCCCACATCCACTGAACCGGTCATCTCATCATAGAAGGCAGTGATGTTGGTCAGGCATGATGCCCCTGGTGAATCCATGCTGACTGTTCCTAATCACCACCTTCTCCTCTCAGTGCTTAGAAATGGATTCCTTGAGGATCTGCTCCATGATTTCTCCAGGGACTGAGAGGCTAACCTGTCTGTAGTTTCCTGTATCCGCCTTCTTACCTTTCTTAAATATGGGCACTGTTTGCCCTTTTCTGGTCATCGAGGACCTCTCCTGATCACCATGAGTTTTCAAAGATGATAGCCAATGGCTCTGAAATCACATCAGCCAACTCCCTCAGTGCCCTGGATGCCTCCTGACTGGCCCTATTGACTTGTATGTCCAGCTTTTCTAAATAGTCCCTAACCTCTTCTTTTGCCACTGTTGGCTGCTCACCTGCCAGGTGCAGTAGTCTGGGAGCTTATATTGCTTGTGAAGACTGATGTGAAAAAGGCATTGAGTATTTCAGCCTTTTCTGCATCCTCTGTCCAGGTTGGACCCACACTTTCCTTGATCTTTCTCTTATTACTGACATACTTGTAGAAACCCTTCTTGTTACCCTTCACATCCCTTGCTAGCTGCAACTCCAGTTGTGCTTTGGCCATCCCAACTTCAACCCTGCATGCCTGAGCAATGCTCTTATACTCCCCCCCCACCCCTCAGTTGTTTGTCCAAGTTTCCACTTCTTATAAGCTTCCTTTTTGTGATTTAGTTTCCTGAAGCGTTCCCTGCTAAGCCAAGCTGGTCTTCTGCCATACTTGCTAGTTTTCCTGCGTATTGGGATGGTTTGTTCCTGCACTCTCAGTAAGGTTTCTTTAAAGTACAGCCAGCTCTCCTGGACTCCTCTCCCCCTCTCAGATTGGCTTCTCAGGGGATGCTGCCCATGCGTTCCCTGAATGAGTTGAAGTCTGCTTTTCTGAAGTCCAGGGTTCTTTCTTTGCTGCTCTCCATCCTTCTTTTCCTCAGGACCTGAACCCAATCATTTTGTATTTGCTGCTGCCCAAGCTGCCATCTGCATTCCCCACTGATTCTTCCCTGTTTGTGAACAACAGGTCAAGAGCATGATCCATAATTGGCTGCTCCTGAATTTGCACCAGGAAGTTGTCCCTAACACTCTCCCAAAACTTCCTGGATTGCCTGTGCACTCCTGTATTGCCCTCCCAGTAGATATCAGGGTGATTGAAGTCTCCCATGGGAGGCAGGGCCTATGATCGGGAAACTTCTGCTGTTTGAAGAAAGCCTCATACGCCACTTCTTCCTGGTCTCCTATTCTTCCCCAAGCAAGTAAAAAATTTAAAAAACCCCAAAATGAGGAGAGACATTCAACTGTGTTGGGTGTAGTGTGCAACTTGTGACATTTTAGCTCTGTGGTGGGGAATAAACTGAGGCAATGCATCATTGCTTTTCGTTATAGTAGATATCAGTCTCACTTGCATTTCCTTAGGCAGACTTGGACAAATGGATTGCTTTTTCATGCAGTGAATGGCACATGGAAGAATGGTGGGGTTAAGGGTTACAACTTCCAGACAAGCTTTTGCAGGAAAAAGTCTAGAAGGTAAAGTCGTTAGGGATGTGAGTTTCTTGAACACCCAGCTTCACTGCTGTTTGGAAAACAATGTGGTGCAGCACTCTAGACAGTTTCTCCTTTAGTCCCAGTTAAATGGCTCCGCTGCATTACTGAAGAAAGAAGGCAATGAGCAGGGCCAAACTTCGTTACCTAAAGACAGCCTAATCTGTAGTCAGGTCCAAACCCGCAACTCTGTAGAGATTAACCGATTCTTAGCTGAGTGAAGGATAAAGTATATGGGACTCTAACTAACTTTAATAGCTTTTCTTATGGCATTCATTACAATTTACCTATACTAGTTTATAATAGTCTATGAAACAGAATAAAGACATTCTTGTCCACGACAACAGGAGTCTGAAATACTCAATGGAAATCCTTCCTAGAGAAGTTTTGAGTTTATTTAGAATGAAAAATAAACTCTATGCTATGATTTAACCTTATTTCAGAGACCTGAGGATGCAGCCCTACATATGTTGTATGTGCAATAACCATTTTACAATTCTCACTATAAAGGTTAAAGGTGGGTGGCGGGGAATGGGATGAGACATTTATATGGTGCAAGGAACAATTAGAATTTTTTCAGGATAAGAAACTTTTTTTGTGCTACTGAAGACATCTCCATTAATAAAATTGAGAATATATGTTGCAGAGCTATTTTAAAGTTCAACCAGAAAACCAGTTTCCTTCATCTACAATTTTTTCATACTGAAGGTTCAATGCTAGTGAATTTTTTTGAGTGCAATAAAGCAAAGAAATCTATCCGGTTTAAAATCTTCAGCAAAAGTCAGTTTTCCTCTGCAGGAAGATGATACTAAGTGACCAAATATACTAATGAGAGCAAGATGTACTTGGGTACAGGATAAAGTATTCCAACACTGTCCAAAATTAGTGTATGGCAGGGGCCAGTGTTACGGTTACAACAAATTTTTTAAAAAACGGTTCATTGCCACAGTTCTGCCAGAAACAGCAAGGTTACTATGTGTAAATTTCATCAACTTGGGAGAAGTCTCTAAAACTAACTAAATATTTTTCCCTATTAGGAGCATAATCATGCTTCTCTGTAAGTCTCTCCTACTGTGGCAGGTCCTATTTCCAATGTCACATTCTGTAGCATTTAAAGCCAATGAGGAAACCCCATACTCAGAAGAAGCTTTAGTAAACACTGCTGCTTTACTCAAATAATTTTCAAAATAAATGCAAAACAGCTTTTTGGTGGTAAATAGCAGGTATTTATTTTAAAATGAAAAAAAATACTTAAGTACCTGAACTATTGCATTTAATCATGTATTGTAATTGTGTTACTCTACCTTTTTGCATTGGAGACAAATATACAATGAACATTCAGATATCACAGATTGCACATTAGATAGTAAATCTTCAGGCCTTTTTACATGACCACCAAAAAACAGATATTGGATTCTGTAATATAGTACAAAATTCCATACTCCAGTCTTAACCAATTATCTTCAATTTACTCCTGATGCTGTACAAATAAGTGGCCATTTACTAGGGCTTACAAGTTAATAACAGGACAAAAAAATATACATTGCACTGACACAAAAAGTCAGCTGTGTTAATAGTCATGCAACAAGTAACCAAACTTGCCAAAATTAAAATTACTTTCTAAAAACTGTTTTAACTGCATAAATATTTTATACACAGTTCATTTACTGAAACAAAAGGAGTCCTTAAATTATACAAAGCAAAAATAAGTTTCTACCAATTTTATACATAAGAAAGTGCAAAATAAACTTCTCTAA